GTACTCCATGGTATACATATACCACATTTTATTAATCCACTCACGTATTCATGGGCACTTGGGGTGTTTCCACTTCTTTGCAATTGTGAATTGTGCTGCTATGAACATTCTAGTGCAGATGTCTTTTTTTATAGGGGCTACTGTTTATTAAGAGCTTATGTACTGGGGACCTTATGTGTGTTATTTAACGCTCAGGATGGCCTTGTTTGTGCGGTACTCTTTTTATCTTGCTCATTTCACAGAAGGAAGACTCAAATACGTTACTTAACGTAACTTGCCTGGCTAGGAAATGGGAAGACCAGACCTCAAACCCAGCTGTGTGGGATGCCATATCTTGGGAGTGGGGGGACTCATTTGAACTGGATGGGGTTCAGAGGATTGGGTAAAAGAGTAGAGGTAAACGGAACTACAAATATTTATTGAGTGTCTATTACATGCCAGGCTCTTTTCTAGGCCCAAGTACTATAGCAATGCCCCAAGTGCCCTGCCCTAGTCTCCACAAGCCTTCGAGGGAACTGGGAGAAGCTGCAGGTGGGGCACTAAAGGGAGGGGAGGTCACAGTGGAGGGAGGCCCCTACAAGGCAGGAACCAAGGGGTGAGGTGGAGGGGAGCAAGAGGACTCAGCCCTTTCCATCAGCACTGTCTCAGCAGGGGCTGCGGTGTGCACTTTCAGGAAAGCAGAGGTAACACAAAGATGCTTGGTCCTAAGACCTTCGTCCTCCTGTCCTCCTGCGGACTGTTTGCTTTACCCCTTCTAAGGCAGGAGGCAGGTGGGGTGGGGGTGGACGCGGGGGAAGCCTGCGGGGGAAGGAGGAGCTGAGTGGGAAGAGGGTATCTTTTATCTTGGCCCCTAAGAGTCCTAGACTCGGGTCTGTGGATGCCATCCTGCACAGCCCTTCCCCTCACCTGCCAGGATGCTTCATACCGAAAACATTCCAGAAAGCAGGCTCAGAAAGATGCCGCCGGGCCCCAGGGGAGAAGGCTGGAGCTGCAGGAATATTTAGTGCCACATCAGTGCTTCCGGAATGTGAATAACCAGACAAAACGACAGGGGTTGGGGGTGGGTAACTTTGGGAGGCAGGAAAGGGCCCTTCTGAAACCAAGACGTGCAATGTCAGAGTCCTCCCCCTGTTCTCAGCCCTGTCCCGGGGCAAGTCCAGACAGCCCTTGAGGGGAAACAGCCTCGCTAGGTGGGACGAAGGCTTCTCCGCATGGACGGAGGAAAACCCCAATGGCATGTCAGCCTGTCCCCACCGTCACTTCTCCCGCTGGCCCGTTCAACCAGCTGCCTAGGACCCTCCTCTGGCAGGACAAATGAAAGGGGAGACAGCCATCCAGATGTGTGAGAAGCAGCAGCCCCCCGCCAGGCACAATGCCCACACCCAACAGAGCTTCCAGTGGGCATTGTCAGAATATGAAGAGTGACTGACAGCCTCAGCATGTCTCCAGGGGGACCCAGGACAAAGGATTAGCTGCAGAGCCTCTGCATTTTTTTAAAGCAGGGGGAGGGGGATGGGTGGGAATCACATAACAGATGACAGGGGTGGTCTTCTGGAAAAGAGAACAGATGCGTGGGCCATGGCTCAGAGAGCAGGACCAATGGGTGGGAGCAACTCAGACAGTTCCGCTTGATAAGGCAATCACCTACATGCTGTGTTCATTCATTCATTCATTCATTCGATATTTATTTACTGAGTGCCTAGCAGTGTATACTGTTCTAGGCTCTGGGGATAAATTTGTGAACAGCACTGACAAAAATCTCTACCCTTATGGGACCTCTGTTCTAGTGGAGGAAGACAGACAAACAGTATAGTAAAGTAAATTATATAGTATATTATTTAGTAAGGGTCATAAGTATTAGGAAAATACTAATAATTAGGTTGG